CGACCGTCTTGCTGCGATCGTGCTACCTACTGCGCCACTACGACGCCCCTGTGGAACCGGGCAACATTTGACTATTGTATCGTGGCCTAGGGTGGGTGTACATCGATTGCTACGCGACCATCAACCGTTTTCCCAGAGGATGACAAGCTGACAAAACATTGCAGCAACTCTGAAACAAGTTTTATTTATGAAAAAAAAGTAAAAGCACTGCAGTGTTTGATTGTTCTGTGTTTGTCTGAGATAATTAGTCTACTTAAATGAGTGTATTCTCGTCATGGTGGCTTGCAGCATTCTGAAAAGCTTAGATGTTTTCAATTCGCACAAGCGGCGTGTCTCTATTGGAAGTATTGGACTTGCATGCGGAAAAGATGCAAAACCGTGCATCCTAGCCTCCGAATCAGTAACCGTTTGTTTATATCAACACGGCATTATCCTGCCTTGGCGCTAACATTTGCAATGACATAGTCATAAAGCAAGAATACACTGGAAACAACTCCAATGACAAAGATTTTCCTAGAACAAGCCGTTTCTCAGACTACGTGCACGAGACTGTACACGCTCGATGGCGTTCCCTCTCAAAACATCTCAGCGATTCCTTCCATGGAAACTCTTATTGCTTCTGTCCCTCCATCTTCTCTGTCAGCATAATCACTTGTTGCTGCAATACACGCCGCACTAATCTCCCGGGCACACCGCAGAAGTGATCACGTTAATTGCCGTTTATTGCATGGAATTATAACCCATTACTGTGCTACCGACGCTGCCTGCCAAAACAAAGAGGCCTCGGTTATTTAGCCAAAGTTCAAAGTCATTCGCTTGAAGCAGCAGACTGTGTTAAGTCTTCGCTTATTAGTTTGAGAAAGACAGAAAGCAGGAATGACCTTAAGATAACAAGGGCAACAAACCTTTAATGGCTGCATGCAGTTTCCATAAAGACAGGAAAACAAACAAGATGTTTTTGGGTAGTTGACAAACAGGCAGCAAAAAAAATAAAAGTTTTATTGTGGTTCCATTTTATTTTAGGTCAATTTCATCCAAAAAAACAAACTGCAATGCACTTACTGTGTTCATAAATGTATTGCAGAAGACTTTTTATTATTATTTTTTATCGTTTTACAATATAACAATCAGAACAATTAACAAAAATAATATTCAGCATTAAGTAGCCTCAGAGTATACGAATATAAAAACATGAACATCATCAAATCCAGTTTATGTTACTAGATTAAAACTTCAGCTTCAATGCTTGACTGAAGCCGCCTTTCCGCTGCACACGATATTTGGACACGACTGTCGGAATACGCCCCCTTGTGGCAGTTGCACAGAGTTTTCAGTGTTGTCGTGCACCATTGGAGAGAAGCTGATTCACGTGGTGTCCGGAATAAAGGAGTGCAAAAGCAAGAGCCAAAATTCGCCATGTGTTTACCATGTTTGAATGAATGAATACTAGAAACTTAGACCTCTAAAAAAAATTTGAGGGAATGCGGAGACAGTATTAAAACTAATATTTTTATTACTTGTTTATGTATAGAAATAAATTTTTTTATATAGATTTTTTAAATTATAAAAGAAACAAAAAAATATATATATATTTCTAATCTCGCGTGCACAGGCCTGCATGGACAACACTGGAATACTGCACATCTGATCGGCCAGTCCAACACACATCTCATGTCAATTCGTAACCTTTTGATTTAGTGGCTAATTTGTACGATCTAATTTGCACAATTACGACAGATTACGGTTACGAATTGCCGTGAAATTGTGTTGCACCGGCCGACCAGATGTGAAGTATTCCAGTGTTGTCCAAGCAGGTCTGTGCACACAAGATTAGTACGAGATTGGTACGAATTGCTCATCCCCCATTGGCGGTTGGGTTTAAGGGTGGGCTTTAGGTGCCACGCCTCCTTTTTAAAATCATACAATTTCGTACGAACTAGCCAATGAATCGACACATTGTAAAATACTTGCCTTTTCTTGTGAGATCATGCTGCATATGCTTTAGTCGCAGGAGTTCAAATATTTCAACGTATCCGCAGCTTAAACTCGAATCCGAATTTTCCACAAACGGAGATGTTTGGAACTCCATGCAGCTCCCGGATTACTCTACATTGGAAATGAATGACTTCCGGTCTGTCGCTTGTTGTTTGTCATATGCAGTGGAAAGGTGGCTTGAGGGCGTGTCTGAAGTTGGGGCTGACGCGATCATCTGAGCTGGAGAATGTGCATGAACCAATCTGATTCACGGGTAGCGTCAGCCGGATAGCGCAGTTATCAGGGGTCACCACAGCGGAATGACCCGCTAACTATTCCAGCATTATCCAGCATATGCAGTGGATGCCCTTCCAGCTGTAACCCAGCTCTGGGAAACTCCCATACAGTCTCGCATTCACACATATACACTCCAACCAGCGACCTTCATGCTGCGAGGCCACAGTGCTAACCACTGAGCCACTGTGCCGCCCCTGATTCATTTATTCATTCATTCACTTTCTTTTCGGCTTAGTCCCTTTATTAATCATTGGTCGCCACAGTGGAATGAACCGTCAACTTATCCAGAAAGTTTTATACAGCGAATGCCCTTCCAGCTGCAACCCATCACTGGGAAACATCAATACACACTCATTCACACACACACACACACTACTGACAATTTAGCTTACCCAATTTACCTATACTGCAAGTGTTTAGACTGTCGAGGAAACCGAAGCAACCGGAGGAAACCCACGCGAACATGGGGAGAACATACAAACTCCACACAGAAATGCCAACTGACCCAGACGAGGCTCGAACCAGCGACCTTCTTGCTGTGAGGCGAACGTGCTACCCACTGCGGCACCATGCAGCCCCTGTTTCATTTATATAGTATATTATATTTATATGAGTATTGAGAAGAGTACCCAAAAAGTGATGTGCACCCCTGCAAAAGAACTGCTATATTATGTTTAAGCTCCTTCTTGTTTAAAAAATGAGGTTAAAAACAAACCCCCACCAAAAAAAATCATCTTGACAGTCAGTTTCAATACAGTTTTACACGAGTCAGCATGCGTTGGGAGTGTTTGAGTGGTGAAGGGCAGAATCCAGGCTTCTTTGTTTCTTCTCAGAGCGTCTGTGTTTTCTCCTGCTTGAAGATCACTTTGATACCGTTCCATCACGTGCAGAACACATGTTAACAGGCTAATGTTGCTGTTTCAAGAGTCAGAAAGCATAAGACTTCCAAATACTGTTTATATTGAAAGGTTTACAGTTGTAAATCAGTACTAATGTCATTTATCAAAAACAAATGCAATTATGAATCGTGTTTTGTATTTATTTTATAATGCATCCTGAGATGCACCTTTAGATGCATCTGTCTCTTTTAAGATGTAAGTGTAAACAGACACTGGTGATTGACTAATATCTTTGAATATGAAATAATTATTATCTGGAACTCTTAAAGAAACAAAAACAACAACGGTAACACTTCATAATAACTTCACACTATGAATCATTTATTAAGCATTAGCATCTAGTGAATTCATTATCTGTTAAGCATTAATAAGCGTTAGTAAACAGTTTATAACTACAGCTACAAATGCTCTATTCTTGACTTATAAGCACCTATATAATGTGCTTATTAATTGTATTTTCATACTTAGTTAATGGTTTATTTTTCATTACTAAATTCAGTATTGCATTATTTACAAACCAGCTGTATATAAGAGTAGTTGAGGGTTTTTAGGATCATTCAGAATGAGTTAGTAAATGATTAATAAAGTATTAAAATCAACATTTATATGTCTTATTATTCAGGCATATACTAATAGTTAACTAATATGTTAATAAATGCTTTATTAACTCAACTTCATGCAGTTTTGTGACCTAATCTAAAGTGAGGACTATTCATGCTTTATAAATCCCTTATAAATGACAAATAAAGGCTCAAAATCAAATGAACAATAATCTTTGCAATCTTATCTAAAAAGTGAAATTACTGTAAAGTTTAAACATTGCTGAATAACAGGAGTGTCGAAATACGACATAAAACTGGATAAAACAACAACAACAATATAATAATTTACCAATATAATAAGATGCACTGTTTAAACTCTACAGTGATTTTATTTTAGATCAGGTTGCAAATGTTTATTTTTTATTTGAAGTACAGTTTCATTTGTGTATCTTTAAATGAACAGGAATGAATAATGTCATTTTTTCCTGTTTAGAGTTTAACTGAGCCTTTATTTGTCATTTATAAGGGATTTATAAAGCATGAATAGTCCTCACTTTAGATTAGGTCACAAAACTAGATGAACTTGAGTTAATAAAGCATTTATTAATGTACATAGTAGCCATTAATCTATGCCTGAATAATAAGATATATAAACGTTGATTTCAATTGTTTAATAATCATTTACTAACTCATTCTGAATGATCCTATAAACCAGTGGTCACCAAACTTGTTCCTGGAGGGCCGGTGACCTGCAGATTTTAGCTCCAACCCTAATCAAACACACCTAAACAAGCTAATTAAGGACTTACTAGGTATACTAGAAACACCCAGGCAGGTGTGTTGAAGCAAGTTGGAGCTAAACCCTGCAGGGACACCGGCCCTCCAGGAACGAGATTGTGACCCCTGCTATAAACCCTCAGCTACTCTTAAACACAAATGGTGTGTAAATAATGTGATACTTAATTTAGTAATGAAAAATAAATCACTAACTTGGTATGAAAGTACAATTATTAAGCACATTATATAGGTGCTTATAAGTCAAGAATAGAGCATTTGTAGCTGCAGTTATAAACTGCTTACTAACGCTTATTAATGTAGAGTTAATGCTTAACAGGTAATGAAATCACTATTTGCTATTGCTTTATAAATGATTTATAGTGTGTAGTTATTATAAAGTGTTACCACAACAACTTCTCAACCTAAAAAAAAACAAAAACATCTTCTAATACCATACACACTGCAAAAAAGGTGATTTTTGTCTTGTGATTGTAAGAAACTACACACTACAGACCATATTTAAAATTTATTTCTGAACCCCCAGTCAATTTTAAGGGCGAAAAATGCAGATAACATGTAAAAAATATATTAATTTGTGTCCTTTTTATTATAAACATACTTTAAACATTAACTTGATCAATGTGCTGGTCATTTTGACTATATATGTATTTAAACTATATATGTAACCCTACTTCCAAAAGTTCTTCTGACAGCTTTGCATTTGACAGTGTTAGAGTCTTTTGATGGACAAATATTTGGTTTTGATTTTATATTTACATCGTTTACCTTTCCTGACACAATTTCAGCTTCTAATCCCTCCTCCATACTATGCACACAATGACCAAAACGTCTCTGTGTGATTTTCAAGAAAGCTTTCACTGGCGTCCTCTAAACCTCTGAGATCCTCGTTGAGATCCCCGTTGAGGTGCCCGTTGGGATGCTCGTTGCGGCGCCTGCTCGGGCACTTGTTGTGGAGGTCTGCTTAAAGTAGCATTAAGCAAGGCGCATCCAGACGTCAGACAGACTCCAGGAACTCCTGGTAGTCCAGGGTGTCCCCGTAATCCAGGCTGGCCAACATGTCCTCTCTCACCCATCTGACCTGGTTGCCCATCAAAAGCTCGGCCTGGTCGGCCACGCTGACCTAGTTATAAAAAAAGAGCATTTAATAATAATTAAAAATCTCTACTAACATTTGAAGTTAGACTAATAGGGGATTTCATGACAAGAGATGCGAGGGCTGCACTATATTGGAAACATTTGACATTGTGATATTTGGTTTTGCTGCAATTTTTGTATATTTAAATATACAATTTTACCAGATAGCATGAATTTATTTGTAAAGAATTCATTCATCTAGACTGATTGAGGTTATTCTGGAAGATTATGGGATTGTTATTATTGGGAAGAAGATTGGGAGTGAAATATTTTACATTACAGTATTTAGAAATTGAATAATCAAATGTAAAATAGCACCGTGTAGTCTTTATTGTATAAATAATTCAAATCTTAGAGTCACAGTCAGTATAATTTCATGTGCCTGAATACTTTTGGCCCATTTCCACTGAGTGGTATGACATGGTACGGGTCGGTACAGTTCACTTCTATCAGGCTTGCATTTCCACTGCTAAAAGAATACCAATGGTACTCTTTTGGTGGGTGTGGTATACGTCAGAAAGTTTCAGTCGACTCAGTAAAGCTCTACAGGTCGTTCACATATCATATGAGAAGCACTTCCCACAAAACAGACGCTTTATACACATAAATACTTGTGTATAAATGTTCATTACTAACCTTTCTATGAACATGAGTTGATTATAACTGCAGATCAATGCGGAATAGCCTACTGTAACGTCTGTGATTATGTAAAATAAATAAATGAATGCAACATATACAGTATGACCCTTACAGTCTCCGACATGTTATCAATTACAGAAAAACTACCAACCCGGGCTCAATGTGGAAACGTAGTCCCGCGGACGTTTCTGGAGACCGCGGAATACGTCCCGGCGGGTACGTACGGCTGCAGTTTTTGTGAATCCACGAGAGGGCGCTGTTGTGCGCTTTTTCGCGTCTCAGACGCCTCTTGCGAGTGCGGTTCGCGCCCGCGATGTTCTTGCGTGAACCCACCGGAGGCCGCTGTCCGACTGACCGGATGATTGACTGCGTGACCGGCCAATCGGCTGACCCGCCCTCCTCCTTCCCTGAACCCAACCAATTTTACCGATCAACCCGCCCGCCCGCTCGCTTCCCTAAACCCGAGCAACAGTTTACAAAAGCCGTCCAAAAAAAATAAAAGCCCTGATTTTTTTTTTCTACCGCGTTTTCACATTTCGCCGCGTTCTCAACCTGTTACGAAACTCGTTGACTTATTTTTCGGGATTCTGTTTTTGTCCTACCTGATTGCTGGAAACGCTCTTCCCTGGACTCGAAACCGATCGCCGTGGTCGACCCCTCTCTGCATCTCGAGCCTGCCGACGTACACGGTGAGCTGAGTGGACAAACAGGTTGCAGCAGGGAAGCCCTCCACAAGGAGGTAAGTGGTAGGCCGGCCGGCCGGCAGGTGCGAAAGGGAACAGCGTCACGCCACCCCACAGCGTTCGCTTGAAAAAAATAAACGCGGCCGTACGTACCTCCCGGGACGTATTCCGCTGTCTCCAGAAACGTCCGCAGGACTACGTTTTCATAATGAGCTTGGGTTGAAAACTACACACAGCATACATTTAATCCTTATTTAAGTTCAAAAACAACACGAAATCTAGCCCACAGTCAGAGCAAACATTTTATCTGTGTCTGTAATCTTCAGCAGCACGTGTAACGTCTTATTAGAAAGTAATTCCGTCATTCCCAGCTCATAATAGTCCAATAGGTGATGATAATAGTTAAAGCAGTTTGTTCATGTTCACTAAAAAAATTATTTGCTCGTTTGTTTTTTCCGGCTTCTCCTTTGACTTTTGCGCGTTACTCTCGTGTTTGTCATCGGGTTTCGAAAAGCACATTAATAACCACGCTCACGTTATCATCATCAGCTCAAGAAGTTTATTTCAAATATAGACGCGCACGCGGCGCAAGCAAGAAAGCGAAACCGCTCACGCTGTAGACTGGCTCGTAAAAAACTACGGGGCACAGAATCTGCTCTTCTTCTTGGCTTTATGGTTGTTCATCAAGATGACGACAAGGTTTGTTTGAGCTCGGGTCGACCACGGCTCATTCTTATATGTATATATTAATACGATGTAGGCGAAGCAGTGGCGCAGTAGGTAGTGCTGTCGCCTCACAGCAAGAAGGTCGCTGGGTTGCTGGTTCGAGCCTCGGCTCAGTTGGCGTTTCTGTGTGGAGTTTGCATGTTCTCCCTGCGTTCACGTGGGTTTCCTCCGGGTGCTCCGGTTTCCCCCACAGTCCAACATGCGGTACAGGTGAATTGGGTCGGCTAAATTGTTCGTAGTGTATGAGTGTGTGTGTGAATGTGTGTGTGGATGTTTCCCAGAGATGGGTTGCGGCTGGAAGGGCATTCGCTTCGTAAAAACTTGCTGGATAAGTTGGCAGTTCATTCCGCTGTGGCGACCCCGGATTAATAAAGGGACTAAGCCGACAAGAAAATGAATGAATCATTTTTACGATGTAATCTCTCAGCTGTGTATTTAAAACATGGCGGCTCCTTTGTTTTCATTCTGGCTTGTTGCGTCAGCAAATGACGTATCCCTGTAAACCAATAGCGTTCAGCTGCGCATCTAGCTCTGCCTTTTGGTACCCTTTGCAAAGGGTGACCAAAAGTTCGATACGCCTTTTGACAGTAGACACAGCCATAAAAGCGTACCGAACCATACCACTCAGTGGAAACAGGCCATTTAGACTCTCGTAGCTGAACACTTTCATAGTCACAGGCCTTAAAAACACATGCATTTGATAAGTGTTCGCTCCATTATATTTAAACTCTTCAGTGACTCCAAAAATCTTGAACTGCGGCTCCTGGTCAACTATAATCTCAACATATGAACATTGCAGATCCTGCGATGTGCACACTGCGATATCGATGCTGAAACCGTATATTGTGCAGCCCTAACAAGAGAAGTTCAATCATATTAACACTTTACCCTGTGGCCCCTGCTCCCCGATGTGCCCAGGAAGGCCGTAGCCTTTAGCTCCCTTGTCTCCTGTTTCTCCTCTGTCACCTGTAGCAAAAATATATCATTAAAGTGAACAGCCATTATGTCATGTAATGTAATGTGTATTTATATAGCGCATTTATCATGTATAGCCGTACACTCAAAGCAATTCACAATCACGACGGGAGGTCTCTCCACACTACCACCAGTGTGCAGCATCCATTTGGATGATGCGACAGCAGTCCACTCACCACACGCTCACCGCACACCGGCTATTGGTGGAGAGACCGTGATAGAGTCAATTCAGTGGTTGGGGATGATTGGGAGGCCATGATATATAAGGGTCGATGGAGGGAATTTGGCTAGGACACCGGGCCAAACACAGGCACAGACTCTGAGTTTGTTGACAAATCTGACAGCTGGAGGGGCGTGGTTAAGTATGTCAGCCACACCCACTAACTCAGACCTAATCTGACAGTTGAACTGAAAACAAACAGGATGTGCATTTTCAGCTTTAAATTCTAGATTACAAGGACAGACTACTGTTTTGTTCTTAGTGACATGCACAGATGATGAATTGTTCACCACAAACCAAATCAACATGGTTAGTTTTGATTTCATGGAGACTTTAAGCAAGCTTTACACAAGTTCCTCTGGCACAGATCCACAATCAAACCATCTGTGTATTTTGTCGTCATTTTTAATTTTGTCCAATTGTATTCTATCAAAGCATTGTAGTGCATTGGTTCCCAACAGAGGGGTCCCGGCCCACAAGGGGGCCTCAGCGAGTTTTGTAGGGGGTCGCGTCATGTTATAAAAATGTCTTAGCATTGAAAAATTAGTAGAATGATCATGTTGCCTTAGCTCATTTTATCCCCTAGCTCAGTGGTCCTCAACCACCGCTTGTTGGATCAATTGGTACCGGGCCGCACAAGAAATCAGTGTCAGTTGCGTCACTTCACTCCCATTCATGAATTCTCATGGGGCATCATGTGATAGCGCAGCATGCATGGGATGTGCACTTCAGAATCTCGCCGGAAGTAGTAAGTCATCCGGGTACTTCTCACATACTGATTTTAGCATACTATATAGTATTGAAGTATGCAGTTTTGAATGCAGAGTTTGCACAAGTTTGTTGTTACCCCAAGCCGTGAGCGCACCGCAAGTCACGTGACAAGAAACAACCCACCCCCCCTCCACAGTGATAAAAAGGTTGAGGACCACTGCACTAGCTGACCAAAAATGGACAAATTTGTAATCCATCCTCCACAAAAGGACAAAACGTGCATCCCAAATCGCATACTTATGCACTATTCTACTCCATTATGTAGTATAAATAGTGTTAGTAGTGTGTTCACACTGAAAACTCTATAAGTGCACTTTAATTACCTGGATGAGGCACTCATTCAACCGGTAAAATCAACCTGGGCTCATTGTGAAAAAGTAGCCCCGCGGACGTTTCTGCGGACCACGATTTACATCCCGGGAGGTACGTATTCGAGCAGCTTTTTGTTTTCGCGGATCAGCGAGAGGCCGCTGTGCGCGCTTTTTCGCGTCTCAGGCGGGCGCCTCTCGAGCTCGCGGCGTTCGCGCCCGCGCCGTTCTTGCGCGAAAAGCCTCCGGATCGGGAAAAAAAAAAAAGCAAAAGCCCTCGTCTTCGATTTCGACCGCGTTTTCGGATCCTGCCGCGTTCTCGCCCTTATTTTTCGGATTCCGTTTTTCGTCTTACCTGATTTCCGGAACCCGCTGTTCCCCGGACTCGATCCCGGTCGTCGTCCACCGCGGCCGGCTTCGGCTCCTCCGCGTCCGGGGCCTCCGCTCCGCCGACGCAACGCTGTGAGCTAGGCGGACAAACTGATTGCGTCGGGAAAGCCCTCAACTCGGAGGCAAGCCATCTGCTGGCAAGCGCGAAGAGGAGGGGCGGAGCGGCGCCACACCGCCCCGCAGCGTTCGCTCGAAAAAAACCAAACGCTGCCTTTACGTACCTCCGGCCACGTAAATCGCGGTCTACAGAAACGTCCGCGGGGCTATGTTTCCAGAATGAGCTTCGGTTGGGTAAAATGAAGTGTGGAAAAAGATGTCTCACGTAGTGGAAGGGGTGTAGCTATCTGGCGCACATGTTAAATTACTTTATTCATTTTGGATTGTGAAAGCAAAAATCTCCTATGAGAGTGATTATAGCGCCCCTGATGGTGAATGCGGTTATACTCACGAATGGTATTAGTTGGTAGTTGGGTCATTTATTTCACTGATTTGCAAATCGTAAAACGTCAACAGGGAAACAGTTTGAAATTTCCGCTTAGTAAAAAAAAAAAACATTAGTGTTCCATTTGGGACGACACTACGTACATACACACTGTATACTCTGCTGTTGATTGTGTGAGTGCATAAGTGTATAGTGCATGAGTGCATAAGTGTATAGTGTGCCATTTGGGACGCAGCTAGAGTCTCACTGAGTTGCTCACAGAAATCCTCACACTAATTGATAGAGAATAACAAATAACATGCAAGTATTAAATTGTAATAGCCTATAGCCTTTCCCCCCCCTTATACACCTGTGTGAATACTGATATTTTTGTTATTGAATTTGACATTGGGCCAATTCAAGGCCATAGGCTTACGTTTTTCAGTTACAAATCCTTCACTGATGCTTTTATATTTTACATTGGGCTATTATTTGTGATTACTATCATATCTACATATAGCAATAAACATACCGTTTGTTTGAAATCAACATTTTTGTAATTACTGCAAACTTATATGAGCAATAATATCATTAAATGTGGAGGGGGGCTTACAATATTTTCCAGGGGAAAAGGGGGTCTCAGGCAAACCAAGTTCGGGAACCAATGTTGTAGAATAATTAGCGTAGTTATGTTTAAGTGTTGTGTTTAAGCTGTTCTTCAGCTGCACCTGTATACTCATTAATACCATTTGGCAGAGAAGTCACACATCTGCTCATGTTTAATAAAGCTATTCTTATCTGATGTTGGCATTACTTATAGACACATGTCCATATGTATATTTATTCCATGACACATCGCGTTCCAAAAGACAGCAGTTCCTTGTGAGGGTGAATTCGTCATATGGGCTCCTCACTTGGACAGCTTTCCCAGCTGAGAAGTATTTGTTATGCTAGTCCATCATGCGTGAACACGGCCAAAAGGAACACCGCCAGACACCCTTCATAGGATTATTGTTTCTCTATATTTCGGGACGGTCTTCGCTTGTGACTTATTGGATCGTCTGACGTCAATGCAGTAGCATGTGATTAATGTGAAGGCACCAAGATGGAGGACCACCCTTGTATCCGTGCATGTCCAGAGACTACTGTTTTTACAAAGTGTAGTGGAGTGTGCGTATGGTTTACCTGCTGAGCCTTGTCTGCCCTGGTCACCGGGTTCTCCATAAAATCCCTGCTGCCCAAGTTCTCCTTTAAGCCCATCGATGCCAGGATCGCCCTATAATAATGGCATTTGCAGATCAACATGTCGTCTTATCAGCATATCAGCAAGATTTAGCATGGCAAACTATTAAAACTAACCCAATTGCCAATTCTAATAAAGGGTGCTTTCACATCTGTAGTTCGCTTCATTTGGTCCGGACCAAGGGCAATAAATAATACATTAGCTTCTTTCACACATACAGACCTTTCCAGAAAATTGTATGTGTGAACAGGTCCTTTTTGAAAATACGGGTAAATTCGTTCTGGCTATTTTCCGGAAAGAGAAGTTGTAACATTACCGGTGATTTGCCGGAATGCTGCGCTGTGTGAATGCAGAAGGAAGATTCCCGTAATAAGCGCGTGCACGTCTAGAATGTGCTGACGTGAGACGTCTGCTTTAGCCAATCACAACAGTCAGACGCATTTACGTCCGCGCGGTTTGTGAGAATAAAAGCCTTTGAATATTTTTCCAGACACATTTAGCTGCTAGAAGTTAGTCAGATCACGTTTATATGTTCTTCTTAATGCCAACTGTGTAAATAATCATCGATGAGATGCTTATGATAAGCCGCTGTTTGTTTACCTTCAAGCTTTGCGTGCGCCTGTGAAACAGCCTGTGAGCGCCTGCACACGCACATATTATGAACATCTCGACATGCGAAAGTTGTTCACAATATTGATCATCCACAGAGTTTGAAATTTAGTCAAATGTTTACAAACACAAGCGCAGCCGTTTAAAGCTCATTTGTGGTGAATGACGTCAGAATTTACCGGTATTTTGGAATGGATGTGTGAATGCTCTTTTCGTTGCATTTTCTGCCGTCTTTGGGTCGTTTTCACACCACACTGCTGGCTTTGGTCCGAACCAGTTGAAAAGAACCAAAATGCACTCATCTCACAACATCCACATCTCTCATTAGCCAGATGTTGTTAAACATAGTTCATGAACTGATTATTGATTGGTCAGAATTCACGTGCGGGATAATGCCAATGAACAAACCGGCAGACACAAAATGTTGCTTTTACTCTGGAGGGACGACTGCGCTGGCTAATTGTATCCCTGCTTTAGACAAACTATACATTTCGAGAATGAAGCGTGGCCGCGGCTGGAAAACGATGTTTTAATGCATCGCACATCACTTCAGGAGGAGGCGTGAATTCATTTAGCTAATCTGCGACATGCTCATCTTGCGGAAATAATACCAACGATCCATCAGGTAATGTTTACCCCTCTCTCTCTCTCTGTTGGTAAAGCGCTGTCAACAAATATTTTTCCTCCATATCCCATAATGCACAGCGCATCGGCCTACGGCAGCTGAATTAGTCCAAAAGGCGCAGTACTTTTTGCAGTTGGGTCTCTTTTTGTTCGGATCATATTCTCACCACAAACGAACCGCTCCAGGGTTCGTTTGAAACCATACCAAGACCACCACTTCAAGCAGGTCTCGGTACGCTTTTTTGGTCCCCTTTTGGTGCGCACTCGAGTACGATTGTTGCATTCACTCCTGGCCAAACGAACCACACCAAGAGGGAAAACTAACTCTAGTCCGATTCAACCCAACTTATTAAGGCAGGTGTGGAAGCACCCAAAGTTCCTAATATATTGTGCATCCCAACATATTACACTTGTCATACTCGAGGCAGCTTTTAATCAAGGCTAAAAAGAGGAAAGCTGTGTGAATCTAACCAGAAACTTAGCAATTACCACAAACTATATCAACTTTAGGCCTTTAACACCAACAATCAGTTTTCCTTTTGTGAATAATAATAGTTTTGTGTCCATGCATGTGTCATTTCTGGAAATGTCTGTCCCCACATGGAAGCAGGAAAACTGTTACAATCGATGATCTGTAGTACAAATTCCTAATCCAAAACGTTGGGCCAGTATGATAAAAGGAAATAAAAGAAAGTAGTGATTTCCAAATTTACTTTGACTTGTATTTCATTTCTGACACAATATTTCATGTTTTGTCTGGTCAGCTTGATTTCGTTTGTGAATATACATCCTTTATTGCGTCATTCAGACCTGCAACACATTCCAAAATGTTGGGACAGAAGCAGTTTAATTTGCTTAAATAATGATGTGATATAAAACAGATGATGTCAACAGGTGATCGCAAGCAAAGACGGGCTGAAGATCGCCAGTTTGCCAACAAATACATGAAAAAAAAATATTGAAATGTTTAGAAACAATGTTCCTCAAAGAAAGTTAGGAAGACCTTTGGATATTTCACCTTTAACAGTCCATAACATAATTAAAAGATTCAAGGAATCTGGAGAAACTTCAATGATGCAAGCGTAAGCTGAACAACTGTGATCTCCGTTCCCTCAGGTGGCGCTGCATCAAATATCCTCATACATCTATAAGCCATATAACTACATGGGCTCAGGACTGCTGCAGCAAACTTTTGTGATTTACCACAAAACATAGTTACATCAGCAAATGCCAGTGAAAGTTGTACTGTGCCAAAAGGAAGCCCTATGTTAACAGTGTCCAGAGGCACTTCTCTGAGCTCACAAAGTGGAACTGTGTACTGTGATCAGGTGTATTTCAGCTATTTGGGGGGAGAAATGGAGTGCCATGTGCTCTTGACCAAAGCAGAAAAGGATCATCCAGTTTGTTTCCAGCAACAAATCTGAAAGCCAGGGTCTGTCATGGTATTGGGTAGTGTCAGTAGTTGTGTCATAGAGATAGAGCACAATATGTTGCCCTCTTTTCCAGGGACTCCCATGCATATTGCAACAAGACCATGCAAAACCACATTCTGCACACATTACAAAGTCCTGTCTGTGGAGGAAGATGATACAGGTACTTGACTGGCCTGCCTGCAGTCCCGACCTGTCTCCAATGGAGAATATGTGTGGCATTTTGGAATGCAAGATGCAACAACGAAGACCCCATACTGTTGCCCACCCTGAAGACTTGTTTGCAGGAAGAATGAGACAAAATTATCCCTGAAACACTTCATCACTTGGTGTCTTCAGTCCCTAAATGTCTTTTAAGTGTTGTGAAAAGTAATGGCAAAATTACAGAGTGGTAAATACTTTACCATTTTAACTTATTTTGAAATGTGTTGCAAAAAACAAAATTGGAATACGCATTTATTTTAACAGTTTAAAAAATATATAAAAAATCATGAGGACCACATTAAATAATGTTTGTTGTATTGTCTGTGATGAAATACAAATACATACATTTAGAAGTTACTACATTTTATTTGCGTTTTCCAAACCGGCCCAACTTTTTCTGATTTGGGGTAGTAGATCAGTGGTTGTAATACATATGCCACACTGTATGTGGTGCTGTAAACAAACAGAGGTGGAGGACACACTAAAGTGCTTAGTACAGACATAAACACAAGAAGATGATGGCGAATACATGTGTATCAAATATCTGACTCTGGTTATTGCCAAGTAGCGTTAACAGGTTTTGTAGTAAAACTGCTAGTTAACACAGCTCTGTTATCCACCATTGTTGTTGTTACTGGTTGTTATGTGTTGGGTTTTTCTTTTTAGTGGTACAACGATATTATGGTTTCCATAAGTATCATTTTGCTTAACCAAATGGCTACATGCTGGGTTTCTTTTTGTGATTTACAAAAAAAAAAAATTTCCACTTTGTATCCTGTTATCAAAAAAGTTTGGCATTTTCAAAACTGACGTCATGTTGATGAAAAGCAGAAACATTATGAAATGTTTGCGAATTAAATACATTGCAGTGTGGATAGAGCTGTAATGTGTGGTTTTATTATATAGAAACTATTTTCAATCGAAATCGATAAAAATTTATGCTCAATTTCGATTATCGAATCAAAAAATAGAATGGTCGATGCTGCCACGCCCCCATGTCACGTCAGCTCGGCTTGCCAGGCGGGAAAAAAACAGGCTTGTTGAAGTGCTTGTTAAACTGCAGAAGCAGGAGACCCGTCGACAGAACTTAAACCCTCTCTTCTTTCAATAAAGTCGCCGGTGTGGAAGCATTTTGGATTTCCAGTGAGTTATGTTGACAACGTTCGTGTTGTCGACAAAAAAAAAAAACACAGTTTTGCAAGCTCTGCTATGTACGTATTAGGTATGGTTCGTCCGATAGACAACACCGGCATCGCGATCCTCCGCCCACCCCCGTTTCAAATGCGCTCGTGAAAAGTACACACTCAGCCCCTGTTTACACTGTCTTTGTTTTTAAATGGCATTTTAGAATGACAACGATTTGACATCCACAGTGGCGTGTAGCATTTCTGAGCAGCCCTCCTTCCTCTCTACCTCTGAAAATGCACATCACGTGACCACACAGACACAGACGCACACACAGCCATGCGCTCGAGACAGCAGGTCCAGGCAGTCAGAGGACTGCTTCAATCTTTCACTCACTTGTACTTAGTCATTTTAGCGAACACCTCAGATACTGTTGGCTGGTTCCTGTTGGTTGTGCGTCTTTTTTACCGACGCCATTATAACGACACAGATCACTGCCTATTCACGAGTCCCGCAGAAAAAAGTGATTGACAGGTGGTAATTATGTGTGTATCTTGCCTTTATTTATTTACTGTATGATTTGTTTATGGGTAAAACAAAGACCATCCAGGTCAGGTAGTTTAAACGGTAGGCTACAAATAAATAATTGGTCATTAATTAATTAATTATTCAAAATCGAAAATCGAAAATCGAATCGTGACTTTAGAATCGAAAATGTAATCAAATCGAGGATTTGGAGGATCGTGACACCCTTAATAGAAACCTGTAACGTAGAAAATCCCCAAACATCTGTTGTGTTCCACAAATGTTTTACAGGTTTAAATCAGCACAAAGGTTAGGTTTTGAAAGCCTCGTTTTTGGTTGTGTGCAGATTTTTCACAACCCTCAATTTTACAAGCTTTTAAGTTTTACATGTTTGAATTTGAGGCTCTGTGAACTTTTATCGGCCTTTGGGTCCCTTGAGTGAAAATGTTCGAGAAGTCTGAAAAAAAGATCTTCTTGAGAAATATGGAAAGGCTTTCCACTCCAGTGAAGGTGGGATTCTCTCCAAGAACCATTCAACACAGAGCAAGTGCCTCGTCTGCGACTTCCTATTCGTCTTCACGGGGACTTGGAAATTCTGAATGTTTTAATTCCAACCTATACTGCCAAACACCACTGCACACTCTCCAGAGGCCTTCACAGTATGTATGTATCAAACTCGGCCTGGAAGATAGTTGATGTATGGGGCATGTTCTTCCTTGGTTTTCTATGGCAAAAACAGGTCTCGCATGTGCTAGCTTTCTAAAGCAGGGCTGCACAATATATGGTTTCAGCATCAATATTGCAATGTGCGCATCCGCAATCGTCACCTGGCATGATATGCAATGTTGCGTCTGAATTACAGTTGACCAGGAGCTACAGAACACATTTCTAGAGTTAAGATTTATATTTGCTGATTGAAGATTTACAATTTGCATGTGCCTCATCTGAGTACAAAAAACTATGATGATCTCTTGACATCTTTTGTATTGAATTTTACAGAATTTATATTAGATTTATATATATATATATATATATATATATATATATATATATATACACACACACAACAGTTCTGTTTGGTTCTTGAATCTGATTGGCTTATAGCCGTGCAAATTATTTTTATTTTTTGCCAGTAACATCACACAAAGGCCTCTTCACCCTTCACCTCTGTGTATTACTCCGCCCAGATACAGCAAGCAACAAGCAGAGGCGCTACAGTTTAAGAAATATTACTGTTGTTAGACAACAAAATTTACTTTGGAGGCTTTTTTAGTCAAGAATGTAGTTGTTTAGATTGCAACTATGCAGTTTCTTTGTAAGAATAGTGCCTATTTTAAAACATTTACAATTTCTGAGACCTCGTCGGCGGCCAAAGACGACTGACGTTGTCTATCCACACGATGGCGCCCGAACCGCATAATGAGCCCTTGCTCAGTGTGTTCTCTTGAGCGCAAATAAAAAAGCTGAAAAACGGAAGCCTCGTGGTTTTTAAGGTGGACCGGATAGAGTCAATAAGAAGCCACGAATAAGAAGCTGGATTCAGCCTTGTCCCTCCTTATCGCAAACACAACAGCAGTCTGGTGTGAAATCTCTGTCGACGGATGGCATTTCATGTCACGTTCAGCCTTATAATCCTAAAATGTGAGCAAAATTTGCTGTTTTGTCATCAGCTTAAGGGGGTCACACACCAGAAGCGCTGCTTCACATTACGCTATAGAGAATCTATCAAACACTAGCTCTAAAGTGACGTTGGTGAATTAGTAACGGCTTCTGCTGCTCTGACGTCAGCTGCAGATGTGAATGAATGGCGGGAGAAAGTAGTTCCTAATACAAAAGGGTTTTAGACTCTCTGTGCTTGATTTTCTTTTTTATGTACAAGATTGTGCCGTCGACCTGTTGTATAAACGCAATATTACACTCATAGCAGTGTGCTATGGCTGTATATCAGCTCTGGTGGGGCGCTGAGGCACTCGGCCNGCATCCTCCNGCCAACGCACNCCTNCCANCAGNGNTGATATACAGCCATAGCACACTGCTACTCGTATGATATTGCTCATACGCATATATCCTAATTATAATTTTTATCTCGTTTTTAATACAAATTTCCAAATTTGAAAGCAAAAACCAGATTATTTTACTCACCCCATTGGCAAATAATCTCACTAATGTTAAGTGAAAACTCTTCATTTTGACTTGTGTATTCTGAAGCTGAAAACAAAACAATATTTTAACTTAATCTAAAAACTTGTAGCTATTTGGAATTTCTGTACATGAATACTAGGGGTGTAATGGATCATGGTTGATATGTGATTCACACAGATCACAACCCACGGTTCGGACCTGTGGATTACTTTTTTTTTTTTACTTGTAAATTAATCCTCTCGGTTCATTCAAATCACATGTATGAAAGCATTTAGGCTTTACTGTAAAACATGATGATGGAAGAATTGATGATTTGGTTATTTGTGATGTGGTGGGTTTTCTAGAGAGTGTTGGTTATAAGTTTGTGCGTTATTAAAGGTGTTTCTGTCAGTACTTGTTTAACCTGCATCAATGCATTCCATGTAAGCTGCATGATTAATCATTAAAAGATCGGGATCTCAACACCCACGCAACATCAATTATAAATGATGCTGATTTGCATATGTTCATTAATCCTTCGAATCGCTGTATTCAAATCTGTGATTAAAAAACGCAAAAATCAAGAAAGAGATTGAGTCTTTAGTCTTTTGAGTTAGTGATGAAGTTACAAACAGTAAAATAACAGAAAGGTACTGGGAGAAGCGTTTATAGTTTAGATAAAACTACTGATGTTTATGGTGAAGAATACAATCACCATCCCATGCTTTTAACTTGACTCTCTAAAACAGAAATGTCAAACTCAATTCCTGGAGGGCCGAAGCCCTGCACAGTTTAGTTCCAACCCTGCTCCAACGCACTTACCTGTAGGTTTCAAACAAGCCTGAAGGACTCAATTAGTTTAATCAGGTGTGTTTAATTAGGGTTGGAACTAAACTGTGCAGAGCTGCGGCCCTCCAGGAACTGAGGCTGCGTCCGAAACCGCATACTTCCATACTATATAGTACGCTAAAATCAGTATGCGAGCCGAGTTGTATGTCCGAATTCATAGAAATCGAAAATCAGTAGGCGAGAAGTACCCTGATGACTTACTACTTCTGGTGAGATTCTGAAGTGCGCATCCCATGCATGCTGCGCTATCCCATGATGTCCCGTGAGAGAATTCATGAATGGAAGTGAGGCAACGCAACTGACGCAGGTAGGTCACGTGACCATGACATAGTGGCAGATGTAGTACGTCGGAATTCCATTCATTCTTTTCACATTCATACTGTATAGAACGCACTTTTCTAACGGCCGAGTAGTACGTTTAAATTCAAATGCAGCACCTACTGAGTAGTAGGCGGTTTCGGACGCAGCCTGAGTTTGACACCTGTGCTCTAAAATAAGAGTTGTAGGCAGCAATTACATTATTTAACCAATAGGTGGCCATCAAAAATATGCCACTGAATAATTCCTCAAACATGATCATCTAGCAATGAAAAGTTTTGAGTGAATGACTGAATCATTTACTGAAAATGAGACTAAAGTAAGTATGGGTTATACAAATTAATGTTAGATTTCCACGTTTAGCGCCATCTGCAACTGTATTAACCACGAATTTTCACAGAACTGAATAATTTACAATTAACTTTCATTCAGCTGATTATTTCATCATTTTTTTTGTAATATTTTTATATGTTTTTTGTAATAAATGGAAAGCAAACTACATTTGTCTCCTCTTTTTTTTTTTTTGGCTGATCCAAAAAATGATCCAATCCATGACTAAAAATCCATAACGTGTTCCGAACTGAGAGATTTGTGATCTGTTACACCACTAATAAGTACTGTTTGACTCAGAAAACAAACCATCTCGTGAAATTGTATTCACATCGCAATATTTATCACTGAACAAATTATTCCAATATCGTGCTGCCCTAGTCTAAAGCAAACCACATTAAAACAGTTTTGTTTTCAAGGCCTAACAAAGCTGAAACTCTTCCACAGTTGTAGTAGGGTTAATCTTCATAGTGGTGGAAAACTTACTGGTGGTCCAGGTGGCCCTTTCGGTCCTGGGGGACCTGGGGCGCCCATTGACACATCTCCATAGAGTGGGCACACGGCTGCACATGTTCTTTTCACAGAGTTGGCGAATGTGGACATCTGCTCCAGGACCACACGCTTGCAGACCTCGATAACATGTTGAGCGGGGAAAGTGGGGCCCTAAAACAGAGATCATTACAGTAGTTATGTTTCCATCCACCTATTTTTATGCGCATTTTGGAATGTCAAGATGCGCAGAAATTTGGAAAATGAAGCGGAAAAAAGCTGAATAAGATAAACTTAACGCACATAAACTCCAATGGAGACCCTTTTCCTGAATAAGTTCCAGTGTGCGCATTAAAAAAGTCATGTGATGATAAAAATGTAATGTGTGTATTCATATAGCGCATTTATTGCGTATGGACATACACGCAAAGCGCTTCACAATCATGAGAGGGGGTCTCCACACCCCCACCAGTGTGCAGCATCCACTTGGATGATGCCATGGCAGCCACAGGACAATGGCACCAGTGCGCTCACAACACACCAGCTATAAGGGAGTGAAAAGACTGTGATTAGCGCTAGTTTGCTGGATGGGGATGATTGGGAGGCCATGATGAGTAAGGGCCGAGGGAGGGAATGTAGCCAGGACACCGAGGTTACACCCCTGCTCTTTACCAGAAGGGGATTATTAATGACCACAGAGAGTCAGGATCTCGGTTTAACATCTAATCTGAAAGACTCACTGACAATATGATGTCTCCTTCACTTTTCTGGGGCATTAGGACTAGCAACCTTGATTTTCCCATGTGGTCTCTCATCCAGGTACTGACCAGGTTCAACCCTGCTTAGCTTCAGTGAGTATCCGGTCTTGGGCTGCAGGGTGATATGGCTTTAATAGGCAAACCAGCGGGCCGACCGTTGATCCCAGTAGCACAGTAGTATTATTATAATATCATTATTACCTCCAGAAATATCTTGAGCATCTCTGCTCCCAAAGACATCTCACTCCTCTAAAATTCACCACGCGTTCATTGCATTTTGTCTTCTGAGTTGTGAGTAATGTATCATGAAAGAAAAAGACTTCAGCTTTTTCTACCTCAGTGAATTCTGTTTTTCAGTTTGATATTGGCGACCCGTTGGATGGAAACACAGCATTATTTGCAAATATATGCGATATTTCAGTTTTGTGCATCAATTTAATATGCATCTTTGGTTGGAAACATGTTGGTAACACTTTATTTTGATGGTCCATTTGAGTATTAGTAGACTGTCTGCTTAATATCTGCTGATAATGCTTCTTCATCAGACATTTAACTGACTATAAGACACTTTACAAGTACATGTCAGCTTACTCTAACCCCTACCCCAACCCAACAGTCTACTTATAATCCAATAAGAATTAGTTGACATCAGGGCTTTACGTTAACACCCGCCAAGACACTCCCACTAGCCACTTTGGCTAGTTGAAAATAATTTTCCCAGAAAATAATTATTAAAAGCAGGGTTCAACAATACGGATGGTCCAATATGCATGCACATGTGATCTTAGAATTGAGAAGCAACACGACTGACAAAAATAATTGCGTTTGCAACTTCGCGGGAACAAAGCAGGTGAATACCGAATGAGAGGATAATCACTGGCGCTAACATCTGAGGTGATGCACGTGACTGTTTATAACGCGTGCACTCTCCTGTTTCCTTATGTGAAGCAACTGTGTCTAGAAACACAACTGATGCTATTGGTTCTCTTTCAAATAGACTGAACAAAAAGGGATGAACATGCACCCACAGTCTTGCTGCTTTCAAGAGTTCCAGAGTTGAATTATTGTAAGCAGCGCCAGTTGCTTTCGCTTATACCATTTTTTGAACAGATTATTTATGGGTCCATGTGTGTGTGATCCTCCTTTAATAATCACACAGTATGTTTTTACCTGCTTTCTTTTGCATTAAAATGGTTTAATTATATTTTTTACAATAACATTGCTTTAATGGGAGATTAACTCCCCATTTATGTGTAGTTAACTGGTGATCTGGGACATGGAGCTCAGATCAGTGCACCTCTTGTCTGTGGTAGTCTGGGTGGCTGTGAAGTGGAGAAACAAATACGGCCAGCAATATTTCACCAGCCTCATTATGAATTTACAGCCACACTAAATGAAAGCTGCAGAGAAATCTGTTCTGATGAGAAAGCGTTTATTAGCGATCTTGACACCAAAATGGTTACCACACATCGCATGCATGTTGCGCCAACGAGCACTGAATCTCCCAGAAGGTTTGAAGGCTTTGGGCTTTATTTTCACGGTCCATGCACAGAGCGCAAAACACAGGGCGCAAACGCTTTCAGGGCGTGTCAGGACACGTTTTTGCTAATTTAAGGATGAGAAAATCCGCTTTGCGCCGTGGCGCATGGTCTAAAAGGGTTGAGTTTATTTTCTTAATGAGTTATAGGTGTGTTTTGAGAATAAACCAATCAGAGTCTCATCTCCCATTCCCTTTAAGAGCCAGCTGCGTCACGCCAAGAGCGCATTCGCCATTTACAGGACGCAAAGTAAGTCTAAGTGGAAAAACTGAGCATTTCTGGAGCAAACAGTTAACAGAAAACTGTTAAACAGAGCATCTACTGCGTGAGAATGAGAGATAATGGATCTACTTTCACTTTCGCTCTTGGATAGGGAAACCTTTACACACAGACATCAATTAGTCTATAAATAATTAATTTAGTTTGTTAAGCACAAATATTCGTTTCAAAACTATTTCTAAATTCAGTTCTAATTTCCAGCAAACGAATAAATGAACAATAATAACAAAATGTGCTCAAAAACCTGAGTTATATCCTAAAACACATGCTGTGCCCCATATGGTCTAAAACCTGACAGGTGGGCAAATCTAATCTTGTTTTTAATAAAACAAATATAAATATGGATATAATAAATAACACTGCTAATAATAATAACATTATACAAAAGCAAATTGTTATGAATGAACTGAAAAAGCCTCCCGAGATGATGAAGACATAAAAGCAGTGATTTTTCATATTTATGTCGGCTAGAAAATAATATGTTTTGTAATATTTTAATCCTTTATATTTATATTCTATATCTATTCTTATTATATCCTATATATATGCTTAATATTTAATGTTTTCATATGTAAAGATATTTGCCTGTTGCTCTCTTGTGTGTATTAAGCAGTGTGTAAGCGAGGTGCAACTCTGCGCTGGAGTTTAGACCGGGTTAGTTTTGGTCTAATGGAAAATCTATTATAGATTCTCAAAATAGCAACGCGCCAGCAGTGCGCCTCAGAACGCCTTTCTTTTTAGAGCAGAACGCCTATGGGTGCAAAAATGAGCGCTAATGCATTTGCTATTTAAACAGCCTAGCGCAACGCCTCAAAACAACTCTTGCGCCAAGCTGAAACTACCAAAAGACTACTGCACCGCGCCTTGCGCCCCACTGCGCCGGGTGTATGATAGGGCCCTACGTCTGAAGGTGATTGTTAGTCGGCTGGTGAAATGCAAACAAGGGCACTTAACACAACCATAAACAGACGTTTGTTTAAGGTTATATCCTGGCTGATTTTGAAATTGCTTCTGGATCATCTGTTGCTTATGCAGGAGGAGGTAAACATAAGGACTCTGCTTTATCTAGTTGATGCGGCCAAATTGTAACTATAAACCAAACGACAATGCATCTAACTCAATGATTTAAATCTCTCTCTTTATTCTAACAACACTTGAACAATATTTCCTTGCCTTGGCTTGGTTTAGGCCTGTCATTAGGTGGTGGAAAGTCCTTAATGAGTGATTCGCTGAATCATTCTTTTAAACAGTTTGTACCAAAGAGCTGATTTGTGTGGAAGTTAAACAAGTCACTGTTTTTAAAAAAGAAATTGACTCACTGGTCCATTTGACGCTTTCGAAAACAGATTAGTTTAGGTATAAAGCACCACATTGATGCTCTTAGACGTACAGATGTTTGTCTCTAGCTTTGTTTGTTAGTGAAACAGAACAATGCACTGCAAAAAAAAATGCTTTTCTTACTTATATTTTTTGTCTTGTTTCCAGTCCAAATATCTAAAAGTTCTTAAATCAAGAAGCATTTCTAGACAAGCAAAACATACTGAAATAATCTGCCAAAATGAGGTGAGTTTTTCCTTAAATCAAGAAAAATAATCTGCCAATGGGGTAAGCAAAATAATTTAGATTTTCAATTTGTGATGAGATTATTTTGCTCACCCCATTGGCAGATTGTTCCTCTTTACACTTTTTCTGAACCAAGCCTACAATCGAAAAAGGAAGTTATTAGCTGAGATTTTGAGACTTACTGGTGGGCCTGGGGGCCCTTGAAAGCCCACTGGGCCACCATCTCCTCTCACTCCCTTGGAGCCTCCGCGACCTTTTCTACCCTGCTCTCCAACTGGCCCTCGCTTTCCTCGGCTTCCCTGTTGCCCTGGCACACCACCGTCTCCTATCTGGAAAACACACAAACGCACCCATAAACAAGCAAGCGCACTTTTATATTGTGTACATATTTCTGAATGATGTCTCGAGAGCACGCCTGGAAAGAAAGACCAGATGGAACTCCAACAATACGCTGAGGTGACCATCAGTTGGGTTTTTTTTCCAAATCCAACTTTGGTAAATGTAATCCACCTGGATTTGTGCTGCTGTTGTGACAGTGGACAGATCAAACCAATCGCTGCTAATACTTTTAAGGATTATCCTTTCTGATAGTCAAACTAAAATGCCAGACAGTCTTACCCTGCCCTTAGGTCCTTTGACTCCCTTTTCACCCTGTGGAAACAGTGTGGCATTGTGAGAAACTAGAACTACAAGATAATGGAAAAGAAATGCATTCGAGTCGATAACTACCTTCTGCCCTTTGCTTCCCAGGACTCCTGTAATGCCAGTGTCACCCTGGAAAATATAACATTAATGTTAGCAATACCAATAATATTATTTAATCCACTGTACAGTTGAGGTCAACATTATTAGCCCTTTTGGATTTATTCTTTTCCAAATATTTCTCAACAGATTAAAGACATTTCCCCGTATTTTAATTCAATTCATCTTTATTTCTATAGCGCTTTTACAATGTAGAGTGTGTCAAAACAACTTAAGAAGGTTATAGTAAACTGAAACAGTGTCAGTCCAGTTTTCAGAGTTGAAGTTCAGTTTAGTTCAGTTCATTCATTCATTTTCTTCTCGGCTTAGTCCCCTTATTAATCCGGGGTCACCACAGCGGAATGAACCGCCAACTTATCCAGCAAGTTTTTACGCAGCAGATGCCCTTCCAGCCGCAACCCATCTCTGGGAAACATCCACACACATACTCAAACACTACAGACAATTTAGCCTATCCAATTCACCTGCAGCATGTCTTTGGACTGTGGGGGAAACCGGAGAACCCAGAGGAAACCCACACGGAGGCAGGGAGAACATGCAAACTCCACACAGAAACGCCAACTGAGCCGAGGTTCGAACCAGCGACCCAGCAACCTCCTTGCTGTGAGGCGACAGCACTACCTACTGCGCCACTGCCTCCACAAGTCCCAAACCAAGGAAGCCAGTGGCAAGGAACAAACTTCACCAATTGACCAAAGTGAAAGGAAAAAACCTTGAGAGAAAGCAGGCTCAGTTGGGCACGACCGTTTCGCCTATGGCTAAAATTCTTGTGCGGAGCTGCAGTCTAGGCCACAGAAGTCAAATTTAGTTCCTGGAGGGCCGCAGCTCTGCACGGTTTAGCTTCAACCCTAATTAAACACACCTGATCAAACTAATTGAGTCCTTCAGGCTCAGAAACCTACAGGTAAGTGTGTTGAAGCAGGGATGGAACTAAACTGAGCAGGACTGCGGCCCTCCAGGAGCTGAATTTGACACCTGTGGTCTAGGCACTGGGAGCTGGAGAAAGCTGCATGTCCATGCAGGTGTGAGGTTACAGGCTGGCCCACGGGATCAATGCAGAGACTTGTCTGTCGCTGAGGTCTTTCAGGAATCGGTCTCATGTTCTCCACTATTCCATGAACGCCACAGCGTCTGCTCAGGATACGGCCTGGTCCAGGATTATGGATTTCCTATAATGTTTTGTCTTCTGGAGAAAGTCTTGTTTTATTTCAGCTAGAATAAAGCAGTTTTACATTTTAAAGCCATTTTAAGGTCAATATTATTCACCCCCTTAAGCAATACTGGTTTTGGATTGTCTCCAGAACAAACCACTGTTATACAATGACTTGCCTAATTACCCTAACTTTACGCTAATTAACCTAGTTAAGCCTTTAAATGTCACTTTAAGCTGTATGGAAGTGTCTTGAAGAATATCTAGTCTAATATTATGTGGTCATCATGACAAAGGTAAAAGAAATCGGTTATTAGAAATGAGATATTAAAACTATTATGATTAGAAATGCGTTAAAGAAAACTTTTCTCCAGAGGGGCTAATAACTCTGACTTCAACTGTATGTGATTTGTAGTTTTAAATAAAATGATCCAGGTGTTGTGAGAGGAAACCCTGAAAATGGTGGTGATGCTTTTCATCACTTTGTGTTTGTGTGAAAACTCAGAGTAAAGCCATTTTGGTTTAATGTGTCCTAATCGGAAAATTGCGCCGGAATTTGACACATTACCCTGAGATCTAATTTAGTGTATTCTGGCTCTCAACTACTCTGCAGACGCTCTACTCAACGAACATGATGTTCCGAATGTTCGCTACTACATTTCTGCTAGCCATAACTATATTTAAAATTCTTTCTGGATGTGTGTGTGGCTTTGAGTTTCAGACCAAGTGTCTTTTACTAAAATGAATAATGACACGAATCAACCCAGTATTTTCCATTTTCTAACTTGTGTATGCTTTCCATTTTCTAACATGATCTAACCACGTATATTCACTCACCGGCCACTTTATTAGGTACACCTGTCTAACAGCTTGTTAACGCAAAATTCTAATCAGTCAATCACATGGCAGCAGCTCAATGCATTTAGGCATGTAGACATGGTCAAGACGATCTGCTGGAGTTCAAACTGAGCATCAGAATGGAGAAGAAAGGGGATTTATATGACTTTAATTGTGGCATTGTTGTTGCTGCCAGACGGGCTGATCTGAGTATTTCAGAAACTGCTGATCTACTGGGATTTTCAATCACAGCCTTCTCTAGGGTTTACAGAGAATGCTTTGACAAAGAGGAAATATCCAGTGAGCGGCAGTTCTGTGAGACCAAATGCCTTGTTGAGGCCAGAGGTCAGAGGAGAATGGCCAGACTGGTTCCAGCTGATGGAAAGGCAACAGTAACTCAAATAAGCACTCGTTACAACCGAGCTCTGCAGAAGAGCATATCTGAACACACAACACAGCCAACCTTGAGGCGGATGGGCTACAGCAGCAGAAGAGCACACCAGGTGCCGCTCCTCTCAGCTAAGAACAGGAAACTGAGGCTACAATTCACACAGACTCACCAAAACTGGACAATAGAAGATTGGAGAAACGTTGCCTGCTCTGATGAGTCTCCATTTCTGCTGACACATTCAGATGCTCGGCTCAGAATTTGGTGTCAACAACATGAAAGCATGGATCCATCCTGCCTTGTATCAGCGGTCCAGGCTGGTGGTGCTGGTGTAATGGTGTGGGGGAGATTTTCTTGACACACTTTGGGCTCATTAGTACCAACTGAGCATGGTGTCAACGCCACAGCCTACCCGAGTATTGTTACTGACCATGTCCATCCCTTTATGACCACAGTGATAACTTGCATTCCAGCAGGATAACGCAGCATGTCATGAAGCTCAATTATCTCAGACTGGTGTCTTGAACATGACGATGAGTTCACTGTACTCAAACGGCCTCCACAGTCACCAGAGCTCAATCCAATAGAGCAGCTTTTGATGTAATGCAACGGGAGATTGGCATCATGGATGCGCAGCCGACAAATCTGCAGCAACTACGTGACGTTATCATGTCAATATGGAGCAAAACCTCTGAGGAATATTTCCAGTAGCTTGTTGAATCTCTGCCACAAAGGATTAATGCAGTTCTGAAGGCAAAAGGGGGTCCAGCGCGGTACTAGTAAGGTGTACCTAATAAAGTGGCCGGTGAGTGTATATCCCATTACATAGTATGTTAGTGCAACACCTCAATGAGTATTTTTAATATTTTACAAACCGTGCTCTACACATGTGCCTTTAAAGCAGTTAAGAGTACTATCAATGTGACATTGAAATAATGTTTAGATAGCAGACGGCCACAGAAGGAAAAGATGTGGCTTTATTAACACCATATGATGCTTCGCCGTCTAATGATAGAGCCGCTGTGGAAATTTGATCATTTTCAAACATGTTGATGAAAAGTCTCGTCTCAGGGACATGTTTAAATGAAGTGTGGCTATCTTCTCAGACGTTTAGATAACAGCGGAGAGGCTGACGCTGGAAACAGAACAGAGCAGGCATCAGTTTCAATCTCGCACACTTTGTAGTGTGACTGCAGCCGGAGCCAAGCGACTGCATACGCAGCCAGAAAGCAGTGAAGAGCTGCGCTGCTCAGACATGACTCCAGTGTGAAAACACGCCGGGCTTCCATGCTTTCAGATGACGGCGGGTGTGTGTTTGGCTTTTCTCCATTCACTTTTTTTTTTTTTTTTGTGAATGGGTCAGATCCCAAAGTCTCAAGAAGATATTGCAGCAGTTTGTCAAGGCTTAAACGAATCTGATGACACATCGTGTTAGCATGCATTTCACAAGTGTTTAAATGCTTGTCTATCATAGCCGTTTGGTCCATTTGCACATCAGATGGTTTGCTTCTCACTGTAAATACTCATGCTGTAGTGATTCAGTATGCACCAATGCCAAAATCACAACACTTGGAATACTGGTAACACTTTATAATAACTACACACTATAAATCATTTATTAAGCATTAGCAAATAGTGATTTCATTACCTGTTAAGCATTAACTCTACATTAATAAACGTTAGTAAGCAGTTTATAACTGCAGCTACAAATGCTCTATTCTTGACTTATAAGCACCTATATAATGTGCTTAATAATTGTAATTTCATACTTAGTTAATGATTAATTTTTCATTACTAAATTAAGTTTCACATTATTTACAAGCCATTTGTGTTTAAGAGTAGTTGAGGGTTTTTAGGATCATTCAGAATGAGTTAGTAAATGATTATTAAACAATTGAAATCAACGTTTATATGTCTTATTATTCAGGCATATACTAATAGTTAACTAATATGTTAATAAATGCTTTATTAACTCAACTTCATGCAGTTTTGTGACCTAATCTAAAGTGAGGACTATTCATGCTTTATAAATCCCTTATAAATGACTATTACAGGCTCAGAATCAAATGAACAATAATCTTTGCAATCTTATCTAAAAAGTAAAATTACAGTAAAGTTTAAACATTGCTGAATAACAGGAGTGTCAAAATACGACTTAAAACCGGATAAAACAACAACAACAATATAATAATTTACCAATATAATAAGATGCGATGTTTAAACTTTACAGTGATTTTATTTTAGATCAGCTTGCAAATGTTTATTTTTTATTTGAAGTACAGTTTCATTTGTGTATCTTTAAATGAAGAGGTAGGAATAACGTCATTTTTCCTGTTTAGAGTTTAACTGAGCCTTTATTTGTCATTTATAAGGGATTTATAAAGCATGAATAGTCCTCACTTTAGATTAGGTCACAAAACTGCATGAAGTTGAGTTATAAAGCATTTATTAACATATTAGTTAACTATTAGTATATGCCTGAATAATAAGACATATAAACGTTGATTTCAAAACTTTATTAATCATTTACTAACTCATTCTGAATGATCCTGAAAACCCTCAACTACTCTTATAAATAATGTAAATAATGCAATACTGAATTTAGTAATGAAAAATTAATCATTAACTAAGTATGAAAATACAATTATTAAGCACATTTTAAATGTGCTAATAGGTCAAGAATAGAGCATTTGTAGCTGCAGTTATAAACTGCTTACTAACGCTTATTAATGTAGAGTTAATGCTTAACAAACAATGAATTCACTAGATGCTAATGCTTAATAAATGATTCATAGTGTGTAGTTATTATAAAGTGTTACCGAAATTCTTTGTAGGCCTCAGTCTTTTTTGCATGATTATTATTAGCATTATCCAGGGATGTCTGGCTGTAGTAAGTCTACAATGATTGTACTACAGTGACCTCTTTACAGCTTTCTGCATGATGGAACTTTATTAAGTGATATATGTTAGATTTACAAGACAAGGAGATGATTTGCATCGCACCCTGTCCCCAGCACAGTTGACCCATTTGCAAAATACCATTTGACCGAGACAGATTTGGATTTTATAAGGGAGATCTTTACCTTGGGGCCTGGTTTGCCAGGTATTCCAATGTGGCCCTATGAAGACATGACATATTTAAGCATTTTGGAGGGTATTAGTTTCAAAAGCTTTCTGATTTTTTGGTGTGTGCAGCTCACCGTTCTTCCAGGAGGCCCGATAAATCCTGGTCTTCCTGGCTTTCCAGCAGAGCCCTTGTAACCTTGCGAACCCTGGAGATCACAGCACTTCATAAATCTACCGAAAGCCACAATCTATTTCTACGTCGTAAACGTCCAAGGTGAAAATATTTAGGTAAGTCTTGTATAGCAGTCATCAAAAAAGCACTTACCGTGAGTCCAGGAGGGCCCATGTTTCCTGGAGGACCTTGTTCACCTTTTTCACCCTAAGTCAAATGTCCAAACACATTACTGTATATATAGTAAGCAAACATATCAGATGCAATCAGCCATAAAGCAATGTTAAAATGGGGATTATTTTCGAATCTGGTGGAGTCTGATATTGTGTAAACCAGGAGTGTTCAAGCTCGGTCCTGGAGGGCCGGTGTCCTGAAGAGTTTAGCTGCGTCCCAAATCGCATACTTATGCACTATTCTACGCCATTTTGTAGTATAAATAGTGCAAGTAGTGTGTTCACACTGAAAACTCTAAAAATAATAAGTGCACTTTAATTACCCGGATGATGCCCTCATTCAGCCGCTAAAATGAAGTGTGGAATGATGGACACTTCACGCACTCAACGACTGCAGGTTTGCTTACGTAGTGGAAGGGGCGGAGCTATAGGACGCACATGTTGAATAACTTCATTTATTTTGGATGGTGAAAGCAAAATTCTCCTATGAGAGTGATTATAGCGCCTCTCGATGGTGAATGCGGTTATACTCACGGCAGGTATTATTTGATAATTCGGTCGTTTATTTCACTGATCTGGCGACTGTCAAACGTCATCAGGGATGAATTTCCGCTCAGTAAAAAAACATTAGTGTGCCATTTGAGACGACACAACATACATATACTAATCTGTTGAGTGTGTAAGTGCATAAGTACATAGTGCATGAGTGCATAGTGTATAGTGTGCCATGTGGGACGCAGCTTTTATCTCTAACTTGCTTCCACACACCTGCCAGGAAGTTTGTAGTATATCTAGTACGGGCTTGATTAGCATTATGAATGGGTTGTTAGAATTGGCTAATAATAGTTGGGCGAGATGCATCTGTTAGAAAATCTGGAATCTGGGTTAAAAAAAAAATCTAAATTGCCCATCACTAGGGCCAGATGGAATCTGCAGACGTTTTTTGCTATTTCTTCAGAGAATTTTGGTAAAAATCTGCGGATTTCTGCGGAATTATTTTGGGAGTATCCAGCGGAGTATCATAACTAAAACATTAATATATTAAATAAAAAGTAATAAGTTACTGAATAAAAACTCAATAAATTCAGATTTACACATTTACTCAAGTAAATAAACAGAAATAATAATGGCTAAAAACCTGCAGAATTCTGCGGAAAATCTGCGGAATTCTGCGCGCGCAGGTTCCGTGTGGGATCTATCACTAATCAAAATTTTGGGATTTTTTTGGTAGGAAATTTACAAAATGTGGAAGGCCATCTTTATTTATTATTCTAGTAATTTTTTGGCTTAAAATAAAAGTCAGTAAATGGCTATACCCACTAATATACCCATGCAGTTTAGGACTGGTTTTGTGCTCCAGGGCCACATGTATAAAAATAAATGTTAATAAGGAATATTCATCAAATGATTTTCTAAACAAAAGCTTTTAATTTTGAGATTTGTCATAAAATAGTTGATCAGTTACCCTGTCGCCAATTTGTCCTCGCTTCCCTTCAGGTCCCTGTGGTCCTTGATAAGCCTGTATGTGAGAACAGCACAGAATTATAAGCAAGCTAGTTTGCATGAAAGTATGGCGGGAAAATATTCCTGAATTTGCTGAAACTGCAATCTGTACCTCAACTCCAGGATCTCCATCTCGCCCTGGCAAACCTGGATCACCAACTATACCCTGTAATGTTCATCTCAATTAGATATTCCAGTTATGGGTCAACAAATCATTTGTTGTTATGACCAAGCAACCAACCTTTCCCCCTACTCCACCAACTCTTCCTTTTAGGCCTTGATTACCCTGTGGAAAGTACGGAGAGAAGTTAAATAGATTCATTTCCATCATTCAGTTGATTAATTAAGCTAAGCGGAGGACAGTAAAAAGCACCCTGATATGAGGAAATGTGATTACATACAGGCTTTCCCTTTTCTCCAGGTGTTCCTCGCTCACCGGGATCTCCCACAATCCCCTGTCATAGAGCAGAGATGGATTATAAGCTTTAGGTCAGATTCCCACGACGAACACAAGAACAAATGTCTGGCCTTACTACTTGTGGTGTCAACGGATTTTACATGGCCGGATATCCTCACAAGTTGGGTCAGAATCTGTATGCAGTCTCAGAAATACTAATTGAGCTTTAATTTTCTCCAAACCACCATTTTTTTCAAAGCTGGCATTTGTAAACAATTTTGTTGACATGCAAATTTGTGTCTCTGCAGACAATTTATTTGCTATTTGAACCCCAAAACTTGTCGTTGTAGTTTTGCATTCTTTTTTTTTTGCCAGCCCTGTTAATGTGTTACAAAACAGCCAGAATGTCAAGCATGATAACAGGCCTAATAATAGACTTTATTGTATTTGTTAACAAGAACTTATTTTGGTTTAATTTAGAGCTTAAACAAATAACCAATAGAATAACTTTTGATGAAATTCACTGTCTCACTAATAAAATTTTTCCACATTAAAAACTAGTTAATAGTTTATTAAAGTTATTTGTAACTAATAAAGCTATCCGCTTGTTAAGTGTGACGTCATGCGAAGCGACTTCCGGGTCCAAGCGCTCTATTCAACTGAATGGGGAGACTCATGAAATGGTAATAATAAACATTTACAAAGCGATTTAAGAAAATCACGATGGCAGTATATGTCCATGCCTAATATCCGATGTCCAGAAAGTGATTAATTTTTGATAAATTGTTAAAATTTTGGTATTTGTTATGCAGCAAGCCCAGAGATTGTTGTGTACACTATGATTTTATATAAAATTATCTTTAATGTGTGATAGGAATAAAACGTGATCATAAACGAAAGATTTCTCCACTCAAATGAGTGGCGGCTTGGACCCGGAAACAGCATACATACGTCACAAACACGTCACCACTTAACAAGCGGATGAGGGCGAGGCAGTGGCGCAGTAGGTAGTGCTGTCGCCTCACAGCAAGAAGGTTGCTGGGTCGCTGGTTCGAATCTCGGCTCAGTTGGTGTTTCTGTGTGGAGTTTGCATGTTCTCCCTGTGTTCGCGTGGGTTTCTTCCGGGTGCTCCGGTTTCCTCCACAGTCCAAAGACATGCGGTACAGGTGAATTGGGTAGGCTAAATTGTGAATATTGCACTCACTGCACTCCAGCACAATGGTAAGGTTTATAGTCAAAATAATGCATATTAAACCTCTTTAATATTATTAACTGTAGATGCAGAATCACTGATATGTGTTGGTTTGCACTGAGTCTCAGTTCTAAAGTTCTATTTCAGATGGTTTATTTTATTTTCAGGATCTGAGCTGAACTATCAGATGCTGCTTTCAGTAGTATGGCAATACATTTGGTGTAAAATGGCGTTCAAACTCACATTATTAGCATTTAACACTGAATACAGGACATAAGGTGATTATTGTCAGTTTATCCTTACAATAATTCCTTCTTAAATGTATTTTAGGTGTTGGTTCGGACAAAAACTCATTTTAAAATGGAAAATATTCCTTCATATGACATTGCTTTTTTATAGAACATGCTTTAAATAAGCCTTTACGCTCCATAGTCAGGCACACTACACTGTAAAAAATAAATCCGTAAAATTTACGGTAAAAAAACGGCAGCTGTGGTTGCCAGTACTTTACCGTTAAAAACACGGTACAAACCGTAAAACTAATTTCTCAATTTTACGCTAAACTACCGTATTTAATTAATTTATAGAGGTAATTTGTCTGTATTTTGAATTACTAACATCTACACTTCTTTTGATACACAATTAGACATGTTAGCACACCCTCATGCAGGTGGTGATGAGAAAGTTACATAATGAGCCGATGCTCATCACAATCAACTTCTCCCACAAGCAGAAAAGAGTATCTGCATATAGAAGGTGCTCAGAGTCATTCACACAGCTACTAAACAGCAGTATGGTAACACGAATAAAATGAAAGTCATGAAATAAACATTGTTTATCAACATTAGATGTAACATAAATCTCTAATGTACATAATTAATGGGGAAACAACTAAAAAGATCCATAGTAATGTCAAAAAAAGGCATAAAAAGTGATGTGCCATGCAGGGAATTCTGGGAAAGTCAGTTTACGGTTATTCGCCATATATATTAAGGAAACATACTGTTATGTAACAGTACGGATTTGTACTGCATGTAGCATTTTTACAGTTTTTTACAGTTGAAATCACGGCCATTTTTTTACAGTGTACTGTTGGTGTCGTCAATCTGGCAACCTGCACTTGCATGTGTTTCGAACCAGGAGTGCAATACCAAGTTCAACCACTGGGTGTCAAACTTACATACTGCACCTTCAACTTTTCCAAATGTGATTGTAATGTTATATGTACACCTTTGTGAAGCTGCTTTAAAACAAGAATTATTGTGAAAAGCACCAAACAAATAAACTTGAAGTGAGTTGAACATACATTTCTCAAAGATATGAACATACGGTGATGACCACAAGTGTCACGTTTGAAATGTAGGATATTTCTATGGTTATTAAATGTCATGCAGCCGAATGCAGAAGGCTCCCAGTCTGTTTTATACCTGGTGGCCTCGTGGTCCTCGAGATCCTTCAGCTCCGTGTAAGCCTTCGCTTCCCTGTTCCAAGAAGAAATGGGAACTGTGAGAATTCCAACCAAACACAGCAACAAATGTTCAAGAGACAAAAAACAATCCAGAGCGAGGAGAAGAAGAAGAAAAAACATACCTTCACTCCCTGATATCCCGCAATCCCCTCATATCCCCGTTCTCCTGCTGCACCCTGGGAGATGTGGTGGGGAACGAGTGAGTCATTCACATCCCCAATAACTCAATCCATCTCACATATATTTTATCGAAGCAATAACAGCAACAAAAAAAAAAAAAGAAGAAGAGTGTTTTAAACCAGAACTTACAACTTCCCCCAGCTGTCCGGTTTCACCCCTCTCTCCAGGTGACCCTCGCACTCCCTTAGATCAGATGCATAGCATGATAATAATGTCAGTGCTTAATACGTGTGATGATCAATGCATTGCTGTTTTTGTTATACAGTATCTTCAAGCTGTGATGCACATTAGGGCTGCACAATATATAAAAAAATTATCGCGATAATATGCAATATTCAACAGGTGCAATGAATTACTTTTTGTTTTTGAATTCAAGAAAAAACCTGAAAAGAAAATCAGGGCTGAAGCTGAAATTCTTCATCGTCATACATGGTAACACTTTATAATAAGTTTCATAAATTAATGCATTTACTAACATGAACTAATCATAAACAACACATGTACAGCATTTATTAATCATAATTGAACATTTACTAATGTATTATTAACATCCAAGTCCATGCTTGTTAACATTAGTTAATGCACCATGAGTTAACATGGACTAACAATGAACTACTGTATTTTCATTAACTGACGTTAACTAACATGAACAAATGCAGTGGTAAATGTATTGTTCATTGTTTGTTCCCGTTAGTAAATGCATTAATTAACATTAACTAATGAACCTTATTGTAAAGTGTGACTGTATACATTTTCTATTAGCTAGAAATTAATCCTAGAGCTAAAAATTACGGGAGTCGAGACTCGAGGAAAATAACAACAGCCAATAAGAAATACCTGCCGAGGTTTTCGTTCATCCATATTCATAAGTTGTATTATTTCATAAGTGTCTAAATGTTTCCACCTTGACAGTTTTTTTTTTTTAGATCAGAAATATTTATTAGATCAGAAGAATATCCATTATTACCTGTTTATTTTAGTATGATCATTTCATCAACATAGGAAGAGTTCAGATGCAAAACCCTCTAAATCCATCAGACCTCTTGTTTTGTAAATGAGCATTTTCTGTCAGCCTCCTCTGATTAGGTTCAGGAGTGTTATTTTATATGTAATGATAAGGTTATTAGCTGGTAAATAAAATAGCTTTTTCATAAATGTCACTTTAGACAATTTGGTTTTTAACTAGACACATTTTCTTTAGGGTTGAAAGCAGCTAAATCCACGTCTGCTTTTTTTTTTTTTGGCAAAAACCTCTAAATCCACCTATTAGGACAAGACAGTGTAATCAGTTGAAAATCACTAATGCTGCTATTAGAAATGATTTTACCAAGCATAAAACACATACACAGACCACCTAAAATACATAAATCTGTCAATTAAGTGGCGGTTCATTCCACTGTGATAAACCAGGGAAAAAGCAGAAGGAAAATGAATGAATGAAATCTATTAATGTCATTAAAACTGACAGTTAAATCTGAACCATCTGTTGTCATTTCTGATATTTGCGATTTTAGATTTAATGTTAGTAGAGCAATGTAAACATTGTAAACTAAGCTTGGTAGTAGTGTAAAAACATTGTGAAACGTGAATTTCTCAATAGCATCACTGCGCAAAAAAAATCGTTATGAATGCATGCTACACTCTGGACTGTACATTGTGTTTTGAGGAAAGTGTTTATAATCTCCAGTGTGTTTTTCATTCCCTTTCCGTAAAGAATCTGTCATTGTAAATTTGTTTCAGGACTGGTAAAAGTGTTTTGCGTCTTGTTCATTTTTTTTTCTAAAATGTAAATTGTTTCATCCTTGGTAAAATCGTTTTTTCCCTATGTAATCGTGTCTAATGATAGGTAAACACGTTTTCCTAAATTTAAATGTGTCTTGAGCTTCTTAAGAGTGTTTCACGCTTTGTAATGTTGTCTTGCACTTCCCGGCCACTGCATTACTCGAAAGGTAAGTGAAAGTTTGCAAAAAGTCTTTATTAACATGAACATAGGTTTACATCTTAATACAGGTTTAAATTTCACTTACTTTTCAAGCTATTTTGTCATTTATGTTGATGTTTCTACATAAACTTAGCACAAAAAGCAGCATCTAGTACATTATATACAAAATATCAAAGCATAGTGGTTGTTTTTTGCATATCTCCAAAGGTAATCTAGTAGATTCCAATAATACTGACATTACCTTGTGACCTGAAGCTCCTTTTAGGCCTTTCAGGCCTTTGGGTCCCCTATCCCCCTACAATAGAGGAGACAATGTCATTACAATGCTATAATGCCATCAATGCAGGCTTTTGTGCAGGTGTATAATGCATTACCTCCCGGCCTCGAAGTCCTCTCATGCCCTTTTCACCTTTGATGCCTTGCTCGCCCTGTGGAATGCAAGCTGACTAGTGAGTGTGCTTGTGCAACAGTATGGACCAGTAGAACGCATAAAGGAGACACTCACTTTAGGCCCAGTTTCTCCTATGTGCCCATAATCTCCAGTGTTCCCACGTCGGCCCTGCAATAACACACAGTCTGAGCTGAAGATTTGCTTGTAATAGTAAATAGCACATAGCAACGGCAACAGATGCAGGGTTTAATTGTCCAATAAGGTTGGCTGAAGACGTAAAGATCTTGGTTTACGGTGTTGGAAAATGGCAGCATGTATTCCACTATATGACAGCCCGGAGCTAGATGAAGCTGGAAACGTTTCCCCCCATGTTGGTATAAAAATGCACTTGACCAAATAGGATCCTTGCTCGACTGAACGTCTGCCAATACCTTCCAGGGATATAATAAGAAAAACCTATATAAAAGGCAAGTAGAACTTCATAAGGTCTGTGCACAGTGTTGTTTTTATGCCAGTGTACTACTTGCGTCAATGCCACATTTTTAAGAAATGCAACCATGCATTAGCAAATGTCAAATGTGTAGACCACATGTCGCCTCACAGCTAGAAGGTCGCTGGTTCGCTGGTTCGAACCTCGGCTCAGTTGGCGTTTCTGTGTGGAGTTTGCATGTTCTCCCTGCCTTCGCGTGGGTTTCCTCCGGGTGCTTCGGTTTCCCCCACAGTCCAAACACATGCGGTACAGGTGAATTGGGTAGGCTAAATTGTCCGTAGTGTGTGTGTGTGTGGATGTTTCCCAGAGATGGGTTGCAGCTGGAAGGGCATCCGCTGCGTAAAAACTTGCTGGATAAGTTGGCGGTTCATTCCGCTGTGGCGACCCCGGATTAATAAAGGGACTAAGCCGACAAGAAAATGAATGAATGAATTAAAGTCTAAAATGTCATTCATAATGTGTCTCCTATCATCCCACAAAGGTATTTTCCTGTATTTCTCCCGTATTTTCAATCTTACTATGCAAAAGACATTAAATAGCCGGTCCTTCCTATACGCAAACCATACCACCAAACCACCAGGGTGCGCCACTTGCTCTTAAATGTAAATCTGTTCTGTAATACAATTTTATTTATGCATGAAGACACTGAAATTAATATTAAAATGGCAGGATTTCTTTCCTTTACATTACAGGCGCTGTTGCCACTCCATTGGAATCAGTTGTAGCGGTGCGTGACTATCAGACGCTTCACTGTGATAAATAGACACTGCTTCCCACATGGCTACTGTACACGCAATTTAAGCAGAGCGAAAGTGGACACTCTGGGTTTTGAAAGCGTGTTTGAACAGACATATGTATACACATAATAATAATAATAATAATAATAATAATTATAGCAACAAATAAACATGTCAATCTTGGTGGGTTTTCTTGCACTAGGTTGAACTTAAGGTTGAACTCAATTCATTAATTAATTTTCTTTTGACTTATTCCCTTATTTATCAGGGGTTGCACAGCAGAATGAACTGTCAACTTTTCCAGCATATGTTTTACGCAGCGGATGCCCTTCCAGCTGCAACCCAGAACTGGAAAACATCCATACACGCTCCTTCACACACTTATACACTACGGCCAATTTAGTTGATCAATTCCCCTATAGCGCATGTGTTTGGACTGTGGGGGAAACCGGAGCACCTAGAGGAAGCCAATGCCAACATGGGGAAAACATGCAAACTCCACACAGTAATGCCGACTGGCCTATCTGGGACTCAAACCAGCGACCTTCTTGTGATGGTACCTTAAATTCTTTGCCACAGCCACACCGAGCTGTTAATGGAGTAATCCCTGGGAATATTGCTTCACAATACACTGTTAAGACTTTTACAAACTCTTCCCGTTGCAAAACGGACCACACACGGCAGCAGATGTACAGTGTGTTTGCGGGGGAAATGCACTCGGTAGCCCCCAGCAGGAAGGCAGTAAACAGATTATTGCCCCCTTCTGCTGCACAGTACATCAGACGGCTCTGTTGCACCGCAGCACTGGACTGTCAAAGGAATGCTCATTTATCTTTCTATGTGGGAATGAAGAAAGGAATAAACAAAAACAATTCTCAGACTGATAAGCTAGAGCATCGACAATGGTGATATTAGTAAAAGAGCACGTTGACTAGTGAAGCTGCTGACTTTTAAAGATATTATTCCAGCTTGCCACAGAGAACTGGATGCGGATCAAAGAGGTAAATTAGTCATAACTCTGGGGTGGAAAGAATCAAGTCTACCGCCCAGGGTCACACACACACACACACACACACAGGAACGTCAACTGTGTCTGCATAACACAAATGTATACAAGTAATTGGATCCCGATGCGCTTGCCCTTTAATTAAGCTGATCGGCAGACATTGTCCTGTGTATTTGCAGGGCCTGTTTAGACTCTAATGGCTTCGCTCCCTTTGAGACTGACGCCACAGCTGATTTTTCGATTTATTTATTTATACCACTGTAGCTTAAAAAGCAAGCGTGTGTACCGTCAATATAAAGATTCTGGAAGCATTTTGAAATGATTTCTTCCCATTATGCGTGGCATTTAGGGACGTTTCTGACAGGGTGAAATGGTCGAGCACTGGAAGTACAAAGTTTACTATATTTAATTGTGTAAACCTTTCCAAACCTGCCATGAACTCTGAAGTTGTGAAGTGAGGATATCTTTTTTAGAAGCCATTATTATAAATTCTTAGGATACAGGGTTCAACGCTAAGGTTTTTTTCTACTGGCCCAACCGGACGGTTCAGATTTTTACTTGCCCTGCCAATATTTTCACCGGCCCCACCAAAAAAACGTTAACTTCTTAGCCACAAATAAAAAAAAAACATGTCAAAATGACGGCAAACTGTATAAAAGATCACTTAATTTTTTTTTTGTCATGGTGTACCCTCTTATATGTCTGCTTCCAAGACGTTAGAAACAAATGTTTTCCTTTAGCATCATCATTTGATGTTACCGCCATGTTGCTGTCTCTTCGCTGTACTAATAACGTGCTCACAACATCCAATCAGATAAGAAGAACCGAGAAGGTAATAATAATAATAATAATATATACAGTATATATATATATATATATATATATATATATATATATATATATATATAAATTTTTTTTTTTTTTTTT